AGAGGGCCAGAGAGATCTTAGCCTCAGGAAGGAGGCCCACCCTGCAATCCATTCTCCAGTCTCCTCTCGGGATGGTGGGCATGCGCACACATGCACCTGGCGTGTTTTCCAAGCCGCTGGGTCTGGGACTCGAACCACCCAGTCGGCCACGCGCGAGGCAGTGCCTTAACTACTATGTGCTATCTCTGTGTCAATACCAAACGCTAATAAAGAGAACGCTTTTTAAGATGAACACATTCATCCACACCTGCCGCCACTTGACCGCACATGGCTTCGCGAAATGGAGCAGATCCTCTCTCCGACAGGAAAAACCTCCGAATGCGTCCCACTTCTCCCTGCCCCCTCCCCATCGCCCTGGGCACAGCCCTGTGGGCACCCGGCCCTGGCAGCTCTGCCCAGCCCGGCCCTCTCCTTTCGTCTCCTAGGGTACCCGGCTCCTCCTCTATGGGCCAACGCGCCCACGCCGCTTCCCGACGGGCTGCTGGGGAGTTCGGGGCTCTGCAGGACGTTCACCGGCTGCCAGAGCACCGAGCACTGGTGTCTGGTGTCGTCCAACCGTTAGCAGGACTGACTTCACGCCAGGCCTGCTCTGGGTCTTGGGGTGCAAGGGTGAGGAAGTCTGTCCTCAGAGGGGAGACCCCCGAGATACACAAGTAGGGTGCTCGGAACCAGAGGGGCTGTGCGGTGGCGGGCGCCCGTGTGGAGGGGTGCAGGAAGCGCGGTTTAAGTCAGGGCAGGCGAGTGTCAGGGAGGCTCACGGAGACAGACTGGGAAGGGCGTGGCGGCGCTGAGATACGGGAACCAGAGTTTCAGGAGGGGCGGCAGCACAAAGGCCCCGGGGCAGGACCGAACCTGGCGTACTGGAGGACCGAGCCTGGCGTACGGGAGGAACGTGCGGAGGCCCGCGTGGCTGGAGCAGAGCGAGCAGGGTGGGGTGGGGACGCAGGTGACGCAGAGCCCGGTGGGTCACTCTGATGACGCTGGCTCTACCTGGAGGGCACGGGGAGCCCTGATCTGACCGGGGTTTAGTGGGCGCCCTCTGGCGGCTGCCATGGCAGGGACAGGAATCCGGGCAGGGGGGAGACAGAGGGCTAACGGGGAGGTGGCCGTGACAGTCCATGTGGATGGTGGTGTGGTGGTGGCCATGGTGGCCATGCGGGGACCCGACTCTTTGCTGCGGGAAGGCTGAAGAGCACCTGTGTGGGAGGGCCCAGGGCCTGGGGGCCGAGCACCCGGCAGATGGACAGGAGATGGCGGGAGGTGTGGGGTGAGGGCAGAGCCCGGCCTGGGCATCTGTGCTGAGGTGCTGACTCGCAGGCAGGGGTTAAGCAGGAGCAGAGTCTGGGGGAGTAACCAAGGTGCCCCTGAGCCCAGGCAGGACCAGCAA